TCGGGATAAATAAATGATTCTGATTGACTCTGATTACACTATAGCAAGAGCTGTTTCTGACACTGAGTGCAAATCATCCGTTAAAAGCTGAGGAGAGAGGATCAGGAGGAAGGTTTTCAGCTAACTGTACGTTACAGTAGACGACAACTAAATGGCTTTTTAGCAGTAATCCCATGCAGAGGGAAGGATTGTGTGGAGAGAGAACGTGAGAGGAAGAGAGAGAAATTGTTTATCTCCTCAGCTTCGACCAGTCCTTTGAGGATTACCGTGTGAAAGACTTAACCACTTATGAACTGATTCACATCAACCAGGAATAACTAAAACAAGCCTTTTTAAAACAGATATAATGTTGTTTAGCTAGGAGCAACACAGGTGTGGTTTGTGAAATCTTTCATAAGCAATAATGGCTTTTTTTGTTCGTGCCCTTTCCCTTCCTTTTTCAGTCTTTTAATTAATGTCTAAATAATTAAAGTAAACTAAAAGCTAGCATTGTTTTGTGTGAACAGAATGTGTTTTTAATCAGTTTCAGGGTATTGGTTTCAGATTATTTTTGGACATATAGCGAGACTAGCTGTATCCCCCGTTTCGAGTTTTATGCTAAACTAAGCTAAGGGCTACCTAGCTCTGGCACTCTATTTAATGTACAGACATGAGAATATTACAGATCTTCTATTAAAACTTACAATAAAACAGCATTTTTTCTAATATTAATTAAACTAAAACAGTCAGCAGTCATCCGTATAGAAAGTAATTTGAGGATTAGCTGTTCTAATTGATGTTTTCAGTGTTTGTGCTAAGCTAACCGCTAGCTAGCTCTGCTCCATATAGGCTACATTTTCAGCAAGACATCAAATAGGCATATCTTCCCAAATCTCTAAATATTCAATAAGTCAAGAAAGACATTGGAGTATTAAATGCTCTAACTAGTGTGTAACATTATTAAAATAATGATGTAGTTTCCCAGTAAGTAATGAACCATCCTGTACCTGAAGAAGCTTATTATTTACGTCTGTTTTTCCTTTCTGGCATGTCGAAATGTGAGATATATGTGAGATAGTGTGATTTATACACTATGGCAGGAAGACAGGTGATACAAATCAATGCAATACAGGAACCTGTTGAACCTGAGGGAGGAAAAAGCTAAAGATGAAGAACACGTAAAAACCTAGTTAAACTCAGTTTGTATTCTAATTCAAATAAAAATAAGACAATTAGCTTTATCCTAGTTGTAAGCACTTTGATTACCACTTCTCACTACCTTCTTCTTAATGCAAAAAGCAGCATAGGATATGGGTAATGTAGTATTTACACAACATGTTTTCCCAGACTCTAAACTCAATTACACAAAATATGTAAAATATGATTTTGGAGATTCATCGTGTCATTAAAAAATGTGTTTGCACTCTTTACTTTAATTTATACAGAATGCTGCAAATAGACTGTTATTTGGCTCAAATAAAAGAGAAAAAACAACCTCCAGTGTGTGTGTGTGTGTGTGTGTGTGTGTGTGTGTGTGTGTGTGTGTGTGTGTGTGTGTGTGTGTGTGTGTGTGTGTGTGTGTGTGTGTGTGTGTTGTGTGTGGTGTGTGTGTGTGTGTGTGGTGTGTGTGTGTGTGTGTGTGTGTGTGTGTGTGTGTGTGTGTGTGTGAAGGGCAGAGGGATTAGTTACACTCTTTTACAGCTCAACAAGGCAGTATTAATTAAAGCCATTATTACGAGGCGTTTTTATTTTTCTTCATGGCAACATAAGAGAGATTCTTGAGGTAGATATCCTGTCCGTCCTTTTTGAAACATGGATAAATAGAGAGGATGAAGACAAGGAAAGAGCTTCGTCATTACTGTAAGAGACGTCATGAGAAAGAGGGACGTTTGCTGAGAGGTCTTTAAATCTGTGAATTGATTTCTGTATCAGCCTCGTCTCCTAAAGATTACTCATGCAAACAAAATGCATTGTTGATTATGTTTCCAGGGAAATCTCTCTTTTCCGTAACAACACACGCTTATATATTATCCAAACCAGGACCTTTTACTAGGGATGTAACCCTGGCCAACTTGGGGCCCCAAGCACATTGTGAGATGAGGCCCGACAGGAGTGAAAACCTTTTTTTTGGAAACAAAGTAGGCTACTTTGCAAATATAATTCCTGTCATTATTATTATCAACACAGTTATTTTTTTATACAGTGAGGTAAATGGTAAATGTGCATGTATGTCATCAGTATGCGTTTACCGGTGAATACGTCTGCATTTCCTGCCAAATACTAGCCTACAAAGATTAAAATAATAATGAATGCAAATAAACTACTTTCTATACTAATAATAATCATAATCAATTCAATAATATAAATACTATATTATTTTATTATAATATAGTTGTAATATAGTCGAGACAAAATGCTTATAAACATTATTACAATAACCCACCTTCGAGTGATGCTCTAGTTTCTCATGTTTTTTTTTTTCCCCTCTTGCTTGCCCCGGACTGAAACTGTCTTTTCACGACATCTCTTCACCTGCACTAGTGGGCGTATCAAAGCCGCGTGATTGGTCAGATGTCGATTCATTGCAACGGTGTCGGGTTACAGACGTGCCCCTTGTCCACTTCTCACTCGCGCGGGTGGGGGGGGGGGTGGGAGAACTAAGCGGAGAACTGCGCACAGCAGCTGAGGCCCTCTGGGCGGGGCCCCCTGCGCAAGGCGGGGCCCCATGCAGCCTGCGTGATTGGCCTGTAGGGAGAGGCGGCCCTGGATGTAACGATATATCGAATATCGCGGTAAAAAATATCTCAATACCGTCGTGAGACTGACAAAATCTACCGGTATTTTTTATTTTTTTTTTAAATAATATTATTTTTTTAAACCTTTATTTAACCAGATGGTCCCATTGAGATCATCAATCTCTTTTTCAAGGGAGACCTGTCCAACATGGCAACATTAAAACAACGGATAACACAAAAGGACATGGTTATTTACAGGCTACATGTACACACCTAGAGACATTGACAAGTACCAACAGTATATGTATATCTCGCCCTGTCAATAAGCCCTCACCTTCTTGGCAAAAAGTGTACTTGTTTTTGAAGTGGAGAGACAATGCACAGTTTGACCCACTGCTATCACCCATGGCCAAAGCATATCTCTCTGTCCCAGCAACATCAGTACCAAGCAAGAGAGTTTTTTCCACAGCAGGGGATTTTGTAAACGCTCAAACATCCCAGCTTCTACCTGTAAATGTGGACATGCTCATATTCCTAAAAGATAAGCTTGATGATGTTGAGTGAGTGATTGTGAGAGAGTTGAGTTACTTGAAAAACTAAAGTGAAACTTGATTTATTCTATTGCAGGGTCTGATCATTATATTGTTGACACTTTAAAATACTACTATCCTCCTAAAATGCTGTAAAAATCAGATGTATTATTTAATAAAGAAAAACAAATTCAAGTTAAATTCAAGTTTATTTTTCAATATCGCGATAAATATCGTACCGTGAGTTTTTGGTATCGTTACATATACCTTTTACTGAACCTAACAACAAAATGCGGTAGTTTTACTATCTAAACATAACAAGATTTGTTGTTTTTGTTTTGTTGGATTTACATCATTAACCTTGTGTTTAAAACTTCGATCATATCCCAGGAGAGTAACTAAAGGAATGTGATCCATATCCGTCATTTTGAAACAAGGATAAATAGAGAGGATGAAGACAAGGAAAGAGCTTCGTCATTACTGTAAGAGACGTCACGAGACAGAGTGGAGGATCGGGTTAAGAGGACGTTTGCTGCTGAGAGGTCATTTAAAGAATTGATTTCTGTCCTGTGCTAACAGCAGAGTGAGGAAAGGGGACGAGAAAGAGAAAAGAAACAGGCTATCTATTCCTCTGACAGGACAATTAGGATGCTCTGTGAAGCGTGGAGTTGTGCAAAAAGACTAAAGTGTCTTTTTACGAGAGGGGTAACCAATAAAAGCATCCGGGCTTTGAAGGGTTACTTTTAAAGGTGTTGCAATACAACCAACTAATTACCTGAGGTACGCTCGCACATGGAAGGAACCGTCAACCTGAGGACTTTCTCAACGGCTGAAAGGGATGACTTTCTACTTTACTCGTGAAAGGATACGTTTTTTCCTTAAAAACAGGAAGGTAGGTTTTTAGGAAATCTGGAAAACCTTTTTCGACTTCCTGGAGCTAGTCGTCTACAACATGACGGGAGAATGAAGACATTTGAATATTATTTGGGCTGCGTTTCTATTTTCTTTTCTTCTTTCTTTTTTCCGTTCTGCTTGTTTTGCTGATAGTATGTAAAGTCTGTCTTGTTTATTAAGTGTCATTTCTATGCAGAAAAACTAATAACGAGATGTTTGAGACAATGCAACACGATTACTTTCTGGTACTATTGGATTGCTTTAAATACCAAATATGCAAATAAATGCTCACATTTCTCAATTTCCAACCATAGAGTTCATGTTTTCAACTTGGTCAGTCTGTCTCTTTGTCTCCTTTGTTTCTCAGCAGTATCACCGGTCTGATTTGTATGAACGTCCGGGGTTTGGAGGGTTACTTTTAAAAGGTATTGCAATACAATAACTAATGACCTGTAAAAGTAGTCACTAACCTGAGGTATCACAATGTAACACCATTACTTTCTGGTACTATTGGATTGCTTTTAATACCAAATAAATGCTCAAATGTCTCAATTTCCAACCATAGAGTTCATGTTTTCAACTTGGTATGTCTCTTTGTCTCCTTTGTTGTCAGCGGTATCACCGGTCTGATTTGTATATCAAATTGAGGAACGAAGTAGCAATGGCCGAGGATGAAGCCATTACATTTTGGAGCAGATCTGAATCACGAGGCTATTGATACTGATTCATGTTCTTCCGTAGCGTCATGTGATTTGTTTCCGTGTTGAAGCAAGACTCGAACGATGCTTCTAGGGCAAGATGTGGTAAAAGACACACACATAAAACCCGACCTGATGAAGTATAAAACAGATAAATGGTTTAATGGTCTTCCTTTTTTTCTTATCTGACACTATTTGAGGTCCTGTTTCTCAAAACTGATCCAATTTAAAGCAACGTTGACCCCATTCATCACAACCATTAGGAGAAACACCTTTTTATTATCACAGTGGATGAAGTTATAGCTTGGGCAGGACTGAAGAAGACGTCAAACAGTAAAATATATTGACCACCAGCTGACCTCTGACCTCTGACACCAGGACTCAGAGAGCAGATAAATCATGGTGCTTTTGTACCGAGTAAAAGTCCATCTATGATCAGCCTGGTCTCCTAATGATTACGTCGTCAAGCAAGAAAAATGCATTGTTGATTATGTGTCCAGGGAAATCACTCTTTGATATTGACGTAAACATATTTCTAATCCTAATCTAGCGATCAACGTTGATTTGTTTGAATATCACCGTAACAAACACAGTAAATGTGTGATAAATGATACTTTACTGAACAACCTGACGCGGTAGTTTAATTATCTAAACATAACCAGATGTGTTGTGCTTTTGTTTTGTTTGAATTCACATCATTGACCTTGTGTTTAAGACTCGATCAGATCACAGGAGAGTAAAATAATTCACACGTTTTGGCAGATCTGGGTTTTTATATTTGCATTCTTTTTTTAAACTGAAGCGCGTTTCTCCTCATGGAAATATCTTGAGCCGATGTAACGCATTTGCACTTGTCGTCCACCCTAGGTATCATATCCTGTAGCTATAATATAATAGCATTAGCTCTGTATATATGCGTCTGTCTGACAAAGCTATAAGCATATCAGGGTATTTATAGGGAGGCGAAGCAGAAGTCACATCCATTATAATCATTTTATCCACATTAGCTCTTAGCGACTTTTAAAGATCTGCTCAGAGAAATAAACTGTTATAGTGATTATAAAACCATAAAGGTCATTATGAACCGTAAACGTGTCTGCAGCGTTACACAGGACGTTACGCCGCTGAAGGCTCTTTCATTATTGAATGTCTGCCAGAGGGAGTTGGCAGCAGATTGAAGGCAATAGAAAGAAGAGAGACAGTGTTTGGAGATTTCTCTCAATAACTTACCTCCCTGCTCATCCAACATGACCAGAGTCCTGATGCCGGCATCTTTACTCTAAAGGACAGAGAGAGAGAAGGAGAGAGGAATGGATGAGACGGATCAGTGAAGGAGAACAGAGCAAAGCTGTCAGACTGCAGAGGGTCACATTACAGTCTGAAATCAATTGGTTTCTGGCTGATCTTATAGTGAATTTCAACAATATATTCCAGGTCTCAGATATAAGATAAGACTTTATTCATCCCGAAGGAAATTGCTGTGCCAGAGTTACAAAAATACAATAAACACAGCAGCATAATAATCCACACGGCAGCGTCGCGTTGAAGCTTGTCGTGGGGTGTCTGAAACTCGACCAACAACCAATCACATGAATCTCCCGCCCCGGACACACAAGCACGCGGTTTGATTGGCTAGCGCTTGTACTGGCATATGATTTGATTGGCTGACGCTTCCGTCGACAATTGAAAAGTTGAACTTCTCTCAACTTTCGAAGCGACCAACAGAGGGGAACCACAATGCAGTTCGGCAAAGCGTGAAGTCACCCCATTCAAAGCGAATGGGAAGCGTCTCTGTTGAAGCAACGCACGCTGCCGTGTGGACGTACCGTAAAAAGAGCAATTCAATAACTACAGGAAACATAGATGGTCACATAACGAATGTACATATTAACAGTATTTAATATTTAGTAGTGCAAAAAGAACGTAGTGGTAGTTACGTAATTGCACGTTATTTATCGAACATTAATAATAATAATATGGTACATGTTATATAGCAGAGTGTTTTGTAATATATACAGTCTACAGAGAGTATCCATAACACGACATCCCTCCATTGCTGTACGAATAGACATTTATGAAAAATCAGTGAATAAAAACACATATGTTTTACATGATGTGACCATTTCCAAACAAAAGCATATATTTACAACAAATAATTCTGCAAGGTAATCAGCCCTTTAGATATTTACTAATACGTATAGAAATACTGAGGTTTTACATTTTGCAAAATATGATTATTTCGTTTAAAAAATATATATTACTTGATATCCGTCTGTTAAATATGAAGCTACAGCCTGCAGCCAATTTCCTTAATTTAACATAAAATGGAATTTATCTGGCATTATTACTGGATTCAGGATTATTATCATTAATATTAATACTTTTAAAGTGTTTGTCTGAAACACCAAACAGGTCATTGCAGCATTACCCATAATCCCCTCTGTTCCAGCCCTGTTTCCAAAGTGCTGATTCTCTGTCTGTTACTTTAGATGAAAATAAGGAGCCCCTCCCCACGCCCCTCTGAGAGACATTTGGTTACAAAGAACTCAATGGTGCTCTAGAGGAGATTCAGGTGATAGGGAGGGGGGGGGTTACCTTGGTTGGTGATTGGCTAATGGTTACACAAGACAACACATCGTTATGACATCATAAAGTGGCCAAAACCTGATCAGCTCATTTTCAGACAGGTTTTTATAGAAATGGATCAAAAAGAGAGAGAATCTTTGTTCCTGAAACTTTCAGAGTCTCTTTCCACAGAGGGGACATATGTTGATGTAGAAGAGACATGAAGAAGAGGGGACACATGTTGATGTAGAAGAGACATGAAGAAGAGGGGACACATGCTGATGTAGAAGAGACATGAAGAAGAGGGGACACATGTTGATGAAGAAGAGGGGACACATGGTGATGTAGAAGAGACATGAAGAAGAGGGGACACATGTTGATGTAGAAGAGACATGAAGAAGAGGGGACACATGTTGATGTAGAAGAGACATGAAGAAGAGGGGACACATGTTTGATGTAGAAGAAGACATGAAGAGAGGGGGACACATGTTGATGTAGACGAGGACATGAAGAAGAGGGGACACATGTTGATGTAGAAGAGAACATTGAAGAAGAAGAGGGGACACATGGTTGATTGTAGAAGAGACATGAAGAAGAGGGGAACATGTTGATGTAGAAGAGACATGAAGAAGAGGGGACACATGGTGATTGTTAAAAGACATGAAAAGAGGGGACACGATGGTATGATGTAGAAGGAGACATGTAGAAAGGGACACATGTTCGATTGTAGAAGAGACATGAAGAAGAGGGGACACATGTTGATGTAGAAGAGACATGAAGAAGAGGGGACACATGTTGATGTAGAAGAGACATGAAGAAGAGGGGACACATGTTGATGTAGAGAGACATGAAGAAGAAGAAGAAGAAGGGACACATGTTGAGTAGAAGAGACATGAAGAAGAGGGGACACATGTTGATGTGGAAGAGGACATGAGAAGAGGGGACACATGTGTGATGTAAGAAGAGACATGAAGAAGAGGGGACACATGTTGATGTAGAAGAGACATGAAGAAGAGGGGACACATGTTGATGTAGAAGAGACATGAAGAAGAGGGGACACATGGTGATGTAGAAGAGACATGAAGAAGAGGGGACACATGTTGATGTAGAAGAGACATGAAGAAGAGGGGACACATGTTGATGTAGAAGAGACATGAAGAAGAGGGGACACATGTTGATGTAGAAGAGAAAGCTCCAGTAATGCACGGTTCCAGTTTTACATGAAAGGTTGTTCTCTGTTTCAAAACCATGCCTCCTGTAGTTTCACCTCCAGCTAATCAAGATAAGGCGTACAAAGGAAATTGCTAATGGACAGAAATCTTACAGAAGATAACAAAATGAAAAGTCTCAAAAAGCCTTGGATATAAAAACGATTCTGCACAGCCTTCTGTGATAAACTCAAACAGAGGGTCTATATCTGTAATGTCCTCTGTGTAGACATTGGTTGACAAAGCTCCAGTAATTCAGCGCTCAAATTTAGCTCATAAAGTTGGCCCACTCTCAAACACACATACACACACACACACACACACACACACACACACACACACACACACACACACACACACACACACACATATAAAGATTCATGTAGATTGCATGCCGTTATTCCTCTGTGCTCCATCACATGAGATAAGATGGAACTGTATTTAAAAGTTGCGTTTACGGCAGCAACAGGGTTAAAAACAGGATTCACACACGGTACAAATAAAGACAAAAAATTAAGATAATAATACAAAATGTTTTTAAATAAAGTGATAAAGTAACTGAGATATAGATTTGACATTTAAATGAACATGTTAGATGTATTTACATAAGACTGCATGATAACACCCTTCAGTAAGCACACATTAAACAACAGCTTTGTGACCTGACAGATATTAAAAAACGAAAGGCCACTTCGCTCAGACTTCAGCTCGGATCAAAGAGTGCTCTGGCCTTTTTATTCGCAGCAGTGATAGATAGATAGAAAACGTCTCTGATATCAGAATCAATCACACTGACTGAGGAGGAGATCTGCCACAAATCTGAGGCAATGTGAAGTTTAAGATCATCAATGTGTTCTCCAGAAGTTAGAAAGAAGAACTATTCTCCCTTTCCTGTACTGTGTGCTATAGGTTTTAGTGCATGTAAATGGTTTGCAAAGGCTACAATCCCAAAGCTTCCTGCAGAGGTATTCCTTTCTGTTTAATAGTCGTGGATCAATGTTTTCTCCAGAAGTTAGAAAGAAGAACGTCTGATGGCTTTTCCCTTTCCTATAGTGTGTTCTATAGGTTTTAGTGCATGTAAATGGTCTGCAAATGCTTTCCCTTTTCTCAGGAGATGAGGTCATAAAATATGACGACAGGCAATTAAAAAGTAGAAGGAAAAAAGGACATGTGAGGGCGTTGCTGTTCCTGAACTACAGGACAGGATCTATATCAGCACGCCAACTGGCAGCGTGTAATGAAATGACCTCACACACACACACACACACACACACACACACACACACACACACACACACACACACACACACACACACACACACACACACACACAAACACACACACACACACACACAAACACACACACACACACAGTTTATCTTACACTGCTGATATGCTATTGCTTGTTATTTGTATTTGCTTCTAATTCATGTGCATCAATGTCTCATCTATGATGCTGTGACGGAAACAAATCAATAACGTATATCTTATCCTATTATCTTTATAACATTGACACACACACACACACACACTCGCTTGCAGCGCAGCAGTAACGAGACAACAGAGGAAGACACATAAAGATGGAGGAATAACGGACAGGTCAGCTGACACTAACAAAATCCTGGTATTGATTTTTGCTTCCAGAATCCTCTCTGCTGTCTAAAGAAATCCATTTGAATTCAGTCTCATTAACCTCTGCTGACCCGAGGGAATATCTCACTCACCGGAGCCTTATATTTGAGAGTACAATCAATAAAATAGAGATATATACTGTGCAATGTCTGGCTCACTCTGAACAGGTGCTTTTCACATTGTAATTATCATGGCATGTTATTATTGGGATGTCTTTGGAATATATTACCGGCTGAACGAGTCGAACAATTGTGTTTATCTCGATAATGAGACCATGAGTGATATTTATGCAGATGCCGATAAGAGTATTTCCACATCCACCTAGAGTTTCACTAAATTAAGAGAAAGTCTGTCATGAAAAGTCTTTTTAAAAAGGTGGGAGAAGTATTCATATCATGTACTTGAGTAAAAGTAGAAGTACTCATATCATGTACTTGAGTAAAAGTAGAAGTACTCATATCATGTACTTGAGTAAAAGTAGAAGTACTCAGATCTTGTTCTTGAGTAAAAGTAGAAGTACTCAGATCATGTTCTTGAGTAAAAGTAGAAGTACTCATATCATGTTCTTGAGTAAAAGTAGAAGTACTCAGATGTTGTACTTGAGTAAAAGTAGAAGTACTCAGATCTTGTACTTGAGTAAAAGTAGAAGTACTCAGATGTTGTACTTGAGTAAAAGTAGAAGTACTCAGATCTTGTACTTGAGTAAAAGTAGAAGTACTCATATCATGTACTTGAGTAAAAGTAGAAGTACTCATATCATGTACTTGAGTAAAAGTAGAAGTACTCATATCATGTACTTGAGTAAAAGTAGAAGTACTCATATCATGTACTTGAGTAAAAGTAGAAGTACTCAGATCTTGTTCTTGAGTAAAAG